GAGGCTCCTTGGGAGTCTCTGCCATGGGGGGGCGCTGGGCGCAATTCGAATTGTGCTGGGCGCGAGACCTTGGGAGGTCTCTGCCTTCCCTGCGCTGGGTGTGGGTTTGGGCACGCCGGGCGTGTGAGACTCCTTGGAGTCTCTGCCTGGGTTTGCGCTGGGCGCAATTTGTATTGCGCCAAGCGCGAAGGAGTCTTGGGCTCTCTAGATGGGTCACGCCGGTCGCGGGCACTCTTGCGTCGGCGCGCTGGCCCCTGGTGCTCGCTAGTTGTGCTTCACCGGGCGCGACCAGGAGTGCGCCGGGCGCGGAGGTGAGGTTTAATTAAATGATGATGAATGTTGTTTTATGCTGAGTATGAGTTGAAATTGACGAATTATGATGTGAGTTGTATTAGATGTATATTGCTGAGCTGTGTTGTGCTGTGAGCTGTTATTGCCGTAAGGCTGAGCTGTTAGGCCGTAAGGCTGAGCTGTTGTAGGAGATCTCTGAGCTGATATGCGTGACGACGCATTGTATGTTTTATTGCTGTTTATGTTGTATAGCTGATGAGTTGTATGCTGATGATGTGCTGATAGCTGTAGCTGTTTATCATTCATGTATGATATATAAATGTATGTTGAATTCTTTTCACTAGCTTACCCTTTGTTGTTTTCATGTGTTTGGTGAGTTGAGGCTAGACTATAGTTGGCAATTGAGCTGATTCTTTTGATGTTTTTGATGTTTTAGCCACTAGTTGGGCTATTTTGAGTTGTACTTGTGTACTCTGTTGTAGACACAGATTTGGACGTTGTGTATATATATATATATTCTAGATGTTTGTACATATATATATACTTGTTCTTTCTTTGTAGTGTCATTTTGTTGTGCAGTCTGTAGTGATCAGGCAGGTCGTTACATTTTTCACACATTATTCTTTCAAAAGTTATTTTGTTTGAAATAATATTAAGTATTAAATACTAAATGTGGACAATCCACCTTATTTTGTCATGTTATGGAGGATTAACAATCTTTTTTGCTAAACCTAACCCACATTGGTAGTTTTATTTGTATTGAAAAAATAGATTTGATTTTCTAACTTTAAACAAAACAAAAAAAAAATTGATACCCTGTTATTAAAATAGATTGAAGAACAAATGTAAGAGTACTTAATCAGAAAATTAATTTGAAAGAAGTCAAAAGATCGAACTAAAACAGAAAATAAAGGAGATGAATCAAAATATTAGTTGTCAAAATAATAAATTAATATCTCACGTTTTAATCATTTAAAAATTTAATTGCAAATAAAAGATAATTGTTAAAAGTTGACTCCAATATTATACTTCACAAGTTAACAAAAACTCATTAAAGAAATTAAAGTAAAAGCATGTGAAGTGACGTGGACAGATGGAAACAGAATATGTATTTGTGGACGCACGCCACCTACGAATCATAATCATTTTCTGATTAATTAATAAAAATTAATTGCACATGCACTGTTAGAGTGGTCAAATTGAGAAACGGATTCAATAATTTTCAAAAATAAAAGTCACTTTCTTCACTTTATCTATTACATCATTATTTCTCATTCAAATTTTGACAAATATGTTAAAATGTTACACAAATAAATAAAATATTTTAACAAAGTATAAAATATAAAAAACTAAAAACATATATTTATGTTTAAATATTTTTTGTTCCTATAATATATATATATATATATATATATATTTATTTGTCTTTGCTGTTATTTTTTATTATTTATACATGACGTATCAAATATAAAAATAACTAAAATTTATTTGAACTCCAAGTGTGTGGTTCTGCAATAGGGGTTGATTTATCTTAAATAAAGTCAGGAGTTTGAATCTTGCATTATGTATGCAGCCGCGTTAAATTTTGCAGCCAGCTATCTCACCCTTTGAGGTGCCTCTAACTTAACGAGGTGATTAGTCACTGCGGGAATCCTCCAAGAACAAACAAAAAAAAACTAAAATTTATTTGAAACGATATCTATTTAATGGACACATCTTGAAAAACTGTAAAAAAAAAAAAAAAAAAATTTATTTGAAACGAAATCTATTTAAAGGACACAACTTGAAAAACTTTAAAAAAAAAAAAAAATTTATTTGAAACGAAATCTATTTAAAGGACACAACTTGAAAAACTTTAAAAAAAAAAAAAAATTTATTTGAAACGAAATCTATTTAAAGGACACAACTTGAAAAACTTTAAAAAAAAAAAAAAATTTATTTGAAACGAAATCTATTTAAAGGACACAACTTGAAAAACTTTAAAAAAAAAAAAAAAAAGACAGAAAAAAAATAGGGATAAAAATGAAAAATATGTATATTAAAGAAAAAAAGTTTTAAGGCTAAAGTTAAAGATCTTCTTATTTTTATATTTTATATTTTTTTAATTTTAATTATTTTATAATATTTTAGAACACTTAACAAAAATTTAAAAGAGAAATATTAATCTAATAGTTAAAAATAAAAAGTAAAAAAAAAACCTAATCGGTTTTACTCAAAGTGTCAAACCTATTTAACAAGGGATAATAATAAAAACAAAGAGTAGGTAAGTTAGATAGGTCAAACCTATTGAATGAGAGATAATAGTTAAAAACTTTGGTAGTAAACGTTAAACATGATGCATGATATATGTTTTTCCGTTTAGTTAATTATAAATTAAACAATGATTATTTAATTAATTTTTTAAAAATTATAATCATACATATTATAAATATATTTTAATATTATACCAAAAGAAAATATATTTTATTGACATTAGTGTAAGAAGGGTATTTCGTGTCTTATGTAAAAAAAAAAAATTATGTCAAATTTGTGTGAATAATTAATAATTAAAAGGTTTTAATAATTTTTGAGTAATTATTTTAAGTGTGCGAGCTGTTTAAAAAATAAGTTTACAAAATAGAAGAGAAAATAAAAAAAAAATACAGAAGAGAGTATTTTGAAAGTTAAAGGATAAAACATAAAATATATCTTAATATAATAATTATTAACATAATAAATTAAAATAATTAAAATTTAGTAATAGTTTTAATTTTACAATTACCGTTGACGTTGGCGATGACTGATGACCATTGTTTTTTTGTTTTTTTTTACAAAAGTTGACTATAATAGACTGTGATAAATTTCAAAACTAGGAGTGATATTGTAACTTTATTTGTTGAGTTAATGAAAGAAAGCGAAAGAAAAGAAAATGAAAAGAAGAAAAAATGAGATGATTTTATTTAGTTGTTTGGTAGCAGATAATGACAGAAAATAAAAATATATTTTAAAAGATATAAATGAGCCTAGTAAAATTAAAATATAATAATTTTGCTTTTACATGATATGATGCAAATTATGTAATCATTGAGTATTGTGTTTTTTGTTTTCTTTCCAAATTGGAGCGAGAGAATTTAGCATGGAATTTATATTTGTTTTTCCTTTTTCTTTTCCTTTCAATTTTTATATATACCAAATAAAGAAAAGTTTCTTAAAAAATGTGTATTAATTATATTCCTTTGATGTTTCTTTTATGGCAAACAATGTGTAAATATGGAATTTGATCCGAGCTTTGACGGCACACTAATTGCCTTCCAAATCCAATGCTTCACATCAATCTCAAAATAAGAACACGAAAAATAACTTAATTTAATTGACAAAAAAGACAAAAGAATAGGATAAATAATAAAATAATTTAAATGAGGAAATAGAATAACATAAATCTTAAAAAAGAAATATTTGACAACCAATAATATTTGTGTATAGAAGGGAATGATATTTTTTAAAAATTCAAATATAAGAGAGTAGTATAACTTAAAAGAACACTACATTCCCTTTCATATATAATAAAGAAATGTGAATATTATTTCTTTTAAATATATCAAACAAAGATATACTTTAAAATATATTAATTAACACTTTCTTTTTATATCTTTAATTAATTGCGAATCTATTAATAAATTATTAACACTGATTTTTTCTTTAGTTTAATAAAGGGATTTAATTTTTTTTATTGGATTGATCCTATTTAGATAAAGTGTACGTGTGATCGTGATTTTATATCCAAATTTAAATGCTACTAACACAATAAATTATACATATTGGTTAAAAAAGTGTTAGTATAAGAATAAAATATTAAATATAATTACTATTAATCATGCAATTACATGTCGGAATGATGTCTCTTTATGTGAAAAATCATTTAGATAACAATAATCACAGTATTATAATGATGATTAGTCTAAATCAATCTAATGAATAACAATTTTTGTAGAAAGTTATTCTTAATGAAATTTGTGGAAAAAAGTTGAACTCTTAAATGTATACTAATACTTGGATCCACTTGTGTTTAACTTTTAACCGAGGGATACTTTGATTTAAATAAAAAAATTAGATTTTACGAATAACAGTTCTAATTTGAGTTTTATTTATATCTATAAATCGATAATAAAAAAATATAATAAAAGAGATTATCTTATTTAATTTTTTTAATGATTTTATCTTTAAATTTTTAAATAATAAAAAATATTTTTAAAAATCAATCATTCTTACAATAATAAAATTTGAGTTCAAGACTTTTAAGTTTAAAGTTCAAACACAACACTAATTCATCTATCAAACATTAATAATTTTTAAATATATTTTATTAAATAAAATATAGAATCATTAAATGTTTAAATCTCACTAATTCATTATAATGAGAATATTAATATATATATAATTATTTTTAATTTTTAATTTTTAATGCACTATTATACCATTCGAATGTGAAAAAAATAACTTCTCATATTCTTTATAAATAATTATCTATAATCATCTAATATTGTAAAAAGTTAATTCTAATAAAATTTGTTGAAAAGTTAAACCCTTAAATGTATATTAGTAGTTGAATAGCCTGTGCTTAAATTTTAAGCCAAGGAACTTTGATTTTAAGAAAAGAAATTGGTTTTTATAGTTTTAATCTGAGTTTTAAAATGAATAACAGGGATGAAGTATTTTGTATTTATTATGTGAAAATGGAATCCCCTACCAAACTTTTAACATCACAAGTCAGTAGTCACAGGGTTTGGTACTGTCTCACACAGCTACACCTACTACGTTTCAGGACTCTCTACATGAATGCATTTTGCGGTTGAATTCTCAGCCACCATATGCTACTAATTTCTCTTTCTTAATCCCAACTCTTCTTCACACACTACTTTCCAAAACTACAATTCACTTTCTTTCTCTCTCCAATGGAGTCTAAGCTTCTAAGAGCCCCTTCAACACCCACTTGTGCTTTTCATCACACCACTCGCAGGGCCTCAATTTTCTTCAACCCCACTACGCCTTTTGCCTCAAAATCCAATCTTTCTCTCCGGGCACACTCGCCTTCTGTTGAGTAAGGCCCACTCTGCTCTCTCTCTCTCTTCAAATTTCTATTTTGGTTTTTTTCTCAAAATCTATTTTTTAATCCACAAGTTCCGATTTTTGGTTGTTCTGTTTTCTTTCTGCAATTGGGTGCATGTGTTTGAATTTGTCTATCGAATTGATCCCCAACCTTTGGGGTTCAACGGGAATTGGTGGATTAGCAAAGAGGAAAGTGCATGTAATTGGGTTAGTTGCATTTTCTTGATCAGAAAATTTAACAGCAATGGTCTTTCCTATTTATGTTTTTAACAAGGGACCTGCTCAATTACCTCAGGATGAAGTGTATGTATGGAATTGTTTTTTTATTCTTAATATAGAAGATGTTTTCCCTTTCATTAAATATATTATGAGAAAATATTAAGTTTTTTTTTAATAAGTAGAAAATATTACAATAACTATAATAAATACAAACTTAAGTTCTCATATACTTATTTCGATCCTCATCACTAGGCCGATCTTAGTGATTCATGCATGATGATGTTGATCATTTTTACGATTCCTGCTTTAAATATCATCATAACTATTAGGATTTCTGATTCGTTGTTAGTTTTATATTATCATTGCATAGAAATAAATTCATATTTTATTCTTTTAATTTTTTTTCTTTCATTTTTTCTTATTGTTGTGTTTTCAGTTTTTGTTTTGTGTGAAGTGGGGTGGGGCTTCTATGTTGTTCAGTCATGTTTTAAAATTATCTTATTTCTTTTGTGTAGGTCAGTGCCATTAAAGAAAAGGATTGATGAGAGTGAGAACTTGACACTTGATTATATAAGGCGCTCTCTAATTCGTCAAGAGGATAGCATAATCTTCAGTCTCTTGGAGCGATCACAATACTGTTACAATGAAGATACATATGACCCTGATGCATTCTCCATGGATGGATTTCATGGCTCATTGGTAGAGTACATGCTCAGGGAAACTGAGAAGCTTCATGCCAAGGTGTGGACCTAAGCCTTAAAAGAAATGAATGACTAAACGTTTTTATAAAAAAATTGATAAATTAAAGGTACAAATGTCTGATATGTATAAATATATAAATGGTAATTTTCTTGACTGTGTTTCCAATTGTTCTGTAGGTGGGTAGGTACAAGAGCCCTGATGAGCATCCATTCTTTCCAGATAGCTTGCCTGAACCAGTGTTACCACCTTTGCAGTACCCTCAGGTAAAACATATTCCTTAGCAGTAATCAAGGTTGTTCCCTTGAGATTTTGTAGTCACTAAATTTATCATGTTCACTTGGGGATAGAACTATGCTTTCACGTAGATAGAATAACAATGTGTAGAAGTCTGTAAATTCCTACTGTCCAAGTCCATTCAGGCAGCATGTAGGAGTTTACGAATTGCCATTCATAATCATAACACCGGTGGTGAGACTAGCTATGTAGGCGTAAAGGTGACATGTCAATTACTCGTTTCTCTGTCTTTATAGAATTTTAAAACTGATTGTAAATTGGCAAAAATCTAGTGTGAAAGGATTCTTTTAAAGGAAGAGAGTCTTAAAAGTAGGATTGGTGTAAGAGGATGTCCTTGTGATTACGGTGAAATTAAAACATTCTAGTTGCATGAAAAGGAAAAAATGTTTACCAAGTAGGGAAATTTCTACTGTATGATAGTGTAAGGTATTAGATTATTTCAGCCCAAAACATTTGCACAAAGTAATAATATCATTAAAATGAAGAGTAAATGGAAAATTAATCAGCTTGTTAATTAAAAAAATTAAAGTTTAATTCTCTCTCTGTCTCTGTGTGTTTAATGAATTTGTTGTTATATCTTTGTGTTAATTGATTTTTCGCTGAATTCCTGTGTCATATATGAATAGGTGTTGCACCCTATTGCTGATTCAATTAATATAAATGATAAAGTATGGAGTTTATACTTCAGAGTTCTTATCCCACAAATAGTCAAGGAAGGAGATGATGGAAACTCTGGATCCAGTTCTGTTTGTGATGTAATATGCTTGCAGGTACACATTATTAATTTCCTTTTAGTTAAATTCATTTCCAAATTAAAATTATGTCCAGGGGTTGTACCAGTTTGTATTTTCGATTATTTAATTTACTTCATATTAGTGGATCTCAAAGCATAAAGTATTATTATCTATTATCTATTATTATATATAAATCTATCTATACCATCATTTAAAGTATCCTTTTTAGTTTCCTCGGTATTTAGCTTTTTACGTGTGCAATGTCAAGACGAATTGGTTTGATGTTTGTGAAACAATATTTTATTTTGTTGAAGAACAAAAAAAGCTGATCCTCAAATCTGTAATCTGTGGTGACTCCTCAAATCTCTCTCTAGCCGTCTACATAACATCTCCCCCCAATCTAAAGAAAACAGAGGACTAGGCATTCTTGCCTTCCAGTTTACTCTTGCTTAGGTTCATATCATGCTCTCCAATATGCACAGGCCTTGTGTAGAGATCTGCATGAAAGTTCCCATAGAAAATAAGTCATATTTTCCCCCATTGAAAAAAAAATACCAGTGATAGAAAACAATGGAGGATACCCATTACAAATACTTTCCTATATGATCATTTAATGAATGATAAAAATTAAAATCAAGGGAATTCAAATATCAAAAATTTCAAATTTTTTGATTTTCTAAAATTTCCTGTCGAAACATACGCTAATATTTTGTTATGCCAATTATAAATTTTGTGAACTGGGATTTTTACAAATTATTGCAACTTGCTAGTTTCCTTAGTCAACATTTAGCTTGCTTTATGTTGAAAAGTTCAGCAATATCTGTCCCTCTAAGTAAGTTTAGATTGTAATCATAAATTCCTTTACATTGATGGAAACTTTTGTTTTCTTGTGACTCCAGGTTATTTCAAAGAGAATCCATTATGGAAAATATGTAGCTGAGGCAAAATTTCGAGCTAATCCTGAAGCATATAAAGAGGCCATTATAGCACAGGTACATACAAATTACCTGTTAGAGGGCCAGACTGGCAAGCTCTAAAACAATTCTTGTTATTTTTCTACTTTTCTTGGAAACTCATTATTGATGGTACATCTAATTCAAATTGGAAACATTATGCTTAACGATCAACTAATAATGCTAATTTTTGCGTCATAAATCTGCTTCAAATCGGAAACATTATAATTAACTATCAACTAATCATGTTAATTTGTGTCATAAGTTTCTCTGGGTCATGTATAAATCGATTTGGTTACTGGTAAATGGTACTGATTTTGATGGACATGCCTACAAGTTTGAAGATTTTGCATTCCTTAAGGGACAATTTTTGGTTTCATTTCATTTTTCTGCTGGCTGGATTTTTCATAGAATCAACTTTGTTTTATCACGGTGACTTTTCAGGACAAGGACAAGTTAATGGAATTGCTAACATATCCTGAAGTTGAAGAGGCAATTAAGAGGAGAGTTGACATGAAGACCAAGACTTATGGGCAAGAGGTGATTGTAAATATGAAGGAACATCGAACTGAGCCGGTCTACAAAATAAATCCAAACTTGATTGCTGATCTATATGGTGACTGGATCATGCCATTGACAAAGGAAGTTCAAGTTGCTTATTTATTGAGAAGGTTGGATTGAACATTACACGTACTTTTCCAATTACAAATGTTCATAGGGTATTTTATATTTTCTGATAGTTTTATCTGAATCTTCTCTATAAATACCAGCTTTGTAATTAACATACAAGGAATTTAATATCGGGATTTTATGTAATAACTTATGGCATCCTTTTATATTATGTTTCTTTTGTGTTGATTGCATTGTAACTTCAATTTTTTTAGTATTACTAGTATATATTACAGTAAAAAGAAGTGAACAGTTTCCATGTGGTTGTTTTGAAAAAGTGAAGGCAGTAATGACTATGTTTGGTGGTTTTCATTTGAAAACAGCAATTTTCCTGCCTACTATTTATGAAAATGGTGTCATTAAGTCCTGAGGTGATAAAATGGTCCAACTAACGCGGAGGAATTTTTGCATGAGATTTTTTTTTACAAAGGCATTTCTTATAAATTAATAGTAGTTGGTTTGTCACTAGTGGAAAAAAGACTTTTAAAATCGGTTATTTTTAACTTTTAAAATCGGTTCTTTAACCGATTTTGAAAGAGCCGATTTTAAAAGTTAGACTTTTAAAATCGGTTAAACAACTGATTTTAAAAGTTAACTTTTAAGATCGGTTGTTTAATAACCGATCTTAAAAGGCTGACTGGGAAAAAAAATTAAATTGGAACGGGCCGTTCCAGTTTAATCAAAAGACCTAAATTTAATTTTAAGTACGGGGCGTTCTCCTTAGAGAACGGCCCGTTCCCAATGGAGAACGGCCCGTTCCCAATGGAGAACGGCCCGTTCTCCTTGGAGAACGGGGATGCATGTTGAAAAAGCGGGTATTCTTGGGTTGTTTGATGAAAATGTGGTGTTTTGGGCCGATTGCATGTGTTGGAAAGTTGATTTGATGCAGGTTTTGGAGAAAATTTTGGAACTTGGTGAGTTGCTGCTAGGTATCACGTGAGCCTGAAATAGAGAAAAAAAAAGCGTGAGAAAACGAAAAGAGACAAAACAAGAACATGAGAAGACGAAAATTAAAACGAAAACGACAACAAAATTTACCTTATTGGAGACTTTAGAAAATGAGAGCGTCACAGATTAAAAAGAAGAATGAAGGGAAAGATTAAAGAGAATGAGAATGGAGGGGAATATAAAAGATTTCTGACGATACTTTTAAAATCGGTTATTGAAGAACTGATTTTGTATACTACATACAAAATCGGTTCTAAAATAACTGATTTTAAAAATAAAACTTTTAAAATCGGTTCTTAAAGAACCGATTTTAAAAGTAGCACTTTTAAAATCGGTTGTAGAATAACTGATCTTAAAAGTACTTTTAAGATCGGTTAAATTTTAACTGATCTTAAAAGTGTTCATTTTATTTACAAATTTGCCACCGCATCACTTTTAAGATCGGTTACCTTATAATCGATCTTAAAAGTTCAATTTTAAATCCAATTTTTGCACTAGTGTGTGTTTAGGCATTTTTTAATGTTTAACGTGTCCGACATACAAATTAGAATTTGTATGGATAAGCTTCTCCTATTAGTTTATACAAATTAGAAAAAGAAAAGATAAATGACATAAACTTCTCTATTAGTTTATGTCTAAATTAATTTATAGAAATTCTTTCTTATTAGTTTCTTCAAAATCTTGATTTTAATTTTATATAAATTACTTTTAGCTTATAGAAAAATTTATTTATTTCCCCTCTTCTAAGTGTTGTTAGAAAAATTTATTCAAACATACCCTTAATGCATATATTAATGAACTTTGCTAGTTGTAACGTAGTTAGTAGACTGGAACGGGGCGTTCCCAGATTGGAACGGGCCGTTCCAAACTACTAAAACAAGGGTGATTTAGTAGCCTAGAATGGGTCGTTCCCAAACAGGAACGGGCCGTTTCCAAACAGGAACGAGTCGTTCCCAAACTGGAACAGGCCGTTCTAAACTATTAAATAGGCCTATGAATCTTGGACTGGAGCGGGCCGTTCCAAAGTGGTCATTGTGAGTTAAATTTAACTCCAGAACGGGCCGTTCCGGTTTGGGAACGGGCTGTTCTAGACGTGCCAGAACGGGCCGTTCCGATTTTAGAACGGACTGTTCTGCATGTGAATTTTACACATGATGAAGGAGCCCAGAACGGGCTGTTCCGAATTTGGAACGAGCCGTTATGGTTAGTTCAAATTTCTATAAATAGAGGTTGTGCAGTTGAGGAGAATGAGAGGTTTTTAGAGAGAAGGACTCTGGACTAGGAAGCTTGCTTTGGGTGGAGTGAAGTCCTGGGTTGAGCTTCGGAAAGGAAATTCTACTTCTTCTCAGTTTTTAGTTATTCTGAGCCAATCTTCGGGTAACGGAAGCTAGATTGTATGTTGTTTGGTTGTATGTAAGTTTAGGAACTCAGAAAAAGAATGAGGGAGATAAAAGGAAAGTGAGTGAGAGTGATAAAATGAGAGAATTTGTTCCTACTGTTCCATTCCCTCAAAGGTTGAAGAAAAAAGAGCAAGAAAAGCAATTTGCAAGATTTCTTGATGTATTTAAAAAGCTCCACATCAATATTTCGTTTGCTGAAGCATTGGAGCAAATGCCAAGCTATGCTAAATTCATGAAGGACTTGCTGTCTAGAAAAAGAAAGCTTCAAGAAGATGAAACAATAATGCTCACAGAGGAGTGTAGTGCAATAATTCAACAAAAATTACCTCCCAAGTTGAAGGATCCAGGAAGCTTTGTAATCCCATGTGAGATTGGAAATTTAATGGTAAGCAAGGCATTGTGTGACCTTGGAGCAAGCATCAATTTGATGCCCTTGTCCATTTTTAAAAGGTTGGGCATTGGAGAAGTGAAGCCTACTATGATAACTCTACAACTAGCCGACCGTTCAGTAACTTGTCCTTATGGTGTAGTGGAGGATGTCTTAGTAAAGGTGGATAAATTTATTTTCCCAACTGACTTTGTGGTGCTTGACATGGAGGAAGATGCTAAAGTCCCAATTATATTGGGAAGACCATTTTTAGCCACAGGGAGAGCATTGATAGATGTCCAACAAGGTGAGTTGATGTTGAGAGTGGCTAATGAAAAAGTTACTTTTTCTATAAACGAAGCTTTGAAGCTTTATGCGCCGGGCAAGCTTGAGAATGTGAGCCTCTGGATGGCCCACATCGGGCGTGGTGAGAGGGCGCTAGGCGCGATATCAGTAGGTGACTTGTGCTTTGTGGTTCTGGTGTGGCGTCGGGCGTGACCTTGTCTCGCCGGGCGTAGAGACTCCTTGGGAGTCTCTGCCAGTGGTGGCATTGGGCGTATTTTAAATTGCGTCGGGCGTGAGACCCTGGGGAGGTCTCTGCTTACCTTGCGTCGAGCGCGGGTTTGCACGCCGGGCTTATGAGACCTTGTGAGGTCTCTGCCTCCTATCACACCGGGCGCAATAGAAATTGCGTCGGGCGCAATGACCCCTGGTGTCCTCTGGTTGTGCCACGCCGGGCGCGACCATGAGTGCACCGGGCGTGGGTGAGATGATGACTTATGTGCTGAAATTTGCTGACAAATGTAGATATGTGCTGAACTAAGCTGAAATTGATGAATATGTCGTGCTGTTAGATGTTATTGCTGAATAAGGGTGTTTAAGCTGTGCTGTGAGCTGTGTTTAGATGTTAAGCTGAGTTGTGCTGTATGCTGATTTAAGTTGTATTTGATGATATTGTTGTGCTGTGCTGAACTATATGTTGTTATAGTTGCTATGTCGGTGTTGTTATAGCCATTATTGTGGTGTTGTTATAGTCGCTATGTCGGTGCTGTTATAGCCAATATTGTGGTGATGTTATAGCCGCTATGTCAGTGCTGTTATAGCCACTATTGTGGTGTTGTTATAGTCGCTATGTCGGTGCTGTTATAGCTGAATGTTGTGATATTTTAAGCTGATATTGTTAAGCTTCGAGCGCGGGTTTGCACGCCGGGCTTATGAGACCTTGTGACGTTGTATGGGAGCAGGACAAGGATAGACTGGGAGATAGCTGTTAGAGGCTACAGGAGGTGCTTGGAGATGGATTTTTTTTTGTAGGCTACCTTATAGTAGCATTCTTTGTTGTATATAATTGTTTGTTGTTGGTTGCTTGATTAGCAACTTGTGCTGTAAATATTTTATTACTATTTTAATATACATATTCCAGTAGTGTATAGTGTTGTTTCGTAGTGTGACGGCACGTCAGATCGTTACACTAGCTTGTGTTTGTTTATTTTTGTTTCAACCCTCATTTTATTAATTTATTCAAACATACCCTTAATCCCCGATTAAGTTTCTTGTTCATTAATTTTTTTTAACTTTTCTAAAACAAGTTGTGAATGGCCTTAGTTTTATTTAAAGGATTTATTTTATTCTCATTTCTTGGTGTACCACAGATGATACTCCTAATCCAAAAATGATACACTGGCTCTACTGAGGAATCAAAGGACACGTTTCATGATTGTTGCCATTGCCAAGCATGATCTAACATCATAATTATCCAATTCAAATTGTTCACCAACTCGAATCAAAATTGCAACTAAAAGAGGCAGGTTGAATAACTCGGTTTAAATAATTTATGCCATTTAACTTCAAACACCCCTAATATGAAATAATAAGCAATATCACTTTACCCTTTACTCCTCGCCCATCAATTACGATCCCCACCACATGGATCAAAAAAAGGTTTTGGGAGAGGAAATTGGCCAACCAAACACCATCATTTATGCTATGCCCATTACTTTTGTAATTGAAATCTACACAAATTAATCCATTTATTTAGCTGTTGCACAAAGGTCAAACCCACAACATGAAAACAATTTGAAAGAAAAAAAAAAAAAAAAAAACTTCACAAACCTGTTCACCCTCCACGAGTCATGGGATAATGTTATGATTTCATTTTTATTTTTAATTTTTTTTGTGGTAACTTTCTCTCCCAATTTTGTATGTGGTGTACAGCAAATTGTAAACAGATTGAGGAAGTAATCGTCACACTACACTCGTATTGAAAATATAAAAATAGTTATGAGACAGCGAAAGTTTGCATGTCGTATTCAATGTACTGGTTGTGTTGTGGTTTCGTGATTTTAGGAAAGCCTGGACCACGCTCTTGCTAAAGAAGAAAAGGTATTGGTCATTTTGACGGATCCGGATTCTCTGACTTTGCGGAAATAAAGTTACGGTAATTTAATACATCTCAACCGTTAAATGTATAAAAATAAATCAGATTGTAACACGTGTACAATATATATTTTAACTTAAATGTACACGTGTCACAATCTGATCATTTATTACAAATCTAACGGTTAAAATGTATTAAGTTACCCTAACTTTCCCTCCACAAAGTCAAGAGATCCATTTCCCAGTTTGACACCATGTTCGTATCAACCAACACAACATAAATAACAATGACAAGATAAGGATTGTAACATTAGAATATATTATATTATATTATATTTTCATCTAGCTGTCAAATTGATATGTGTTTGTTCATTTATTAATAATATTTTTCTAACCATTTATCAAAGAATACACAAGCCATTTAATTAGCGTTTGCTTTTCAAGGTAAGTAAAGTTTAGAATATAATGTTCGATTAGAGTAATAGTGGCAAAACTATGAATAAAACAACATATTTTGACTTTCATCTTTAATACATTTACCCTCTCTCTCTCTCTCTTCTGTTTATTGAAGAGAATAGGCTGTTTTTGAATTTTCTTTTTTCATGAAAGTTATCGGTTATGCTGGTATATAATTAAAATTCAATTCCATGGAACATTTTTTTTTCCACTCATTAATTTCTACTCACACAATTCGAACTCACAATGAATTGCTAATTGTGAGGTAATCAACACTTCCCCACATGAAGTAATTGCCCATAGAAATGCATGGAAGCTCAATTTTGGACTGTTTGTTTTTATCTTCAAAACTAATTTGAGCACTTTTCAATACAAAAACACGTTCTAATATCATTTTTCTTTCAATTTTATCAAAATAAATTTTACCTAACTCTAGAAAAATGAGTTAAAATATATCACCTTACATTTTTACTTGTACGTAAGACTATTAATAAGATGTTGATTTGAGTGATATTAAACTCAATTTTTTTAAATTTTAAATAAAAAAAAATATTTGAGTGGAGAAATTATATTAAAAATTATTAATTAATTTTTTTGGCATAGATTAATTCTCAACAAATTAAGTTGGTGAGTAACTCTGAAAACATGGTGATAAAAAAAAAAACTTAGAACTATAATGCATGTTCTTCACGATCCTACAATAAAACATTAGCTCGTAGTACGAGTTAAGTTCAAGGAATTCCAAGTATATATCTTACAATAAGTATAGTAAGTAGCTATTTTACCAAACACAAAGCATGTAGAGAGTGAATGTATTTTTTATGTTTCTTTTTTCCTTTTACAGCGGAGGCAAGACTTGATGAGAACCAGGATATACATGCAATCCTAGGATATACTTTAATGTTATTACTATTTGTTTTATTTACAGCTTGCAATGTTTTGACTTGAGTCATGTCTTTTAATTTTATTTATTTGGAGTCAAAATACCCTTTTATGCATTTATTATACACCTCTTTACCAAATATAAGATAGGCATAAAAAAAATCCATAGAAGTAAAAGGTACATCTTAATCTTATGATGTCGAAAAGGGAAAATAAATTTTAAGAGAAAGAAAGTATACTTTTCAAGAAATTACAATAATATAGTCAAACCAAAAAGAAAAAGAACAAATTGAATATGTATACTTTCTGCCTTGATTTACACTTTTGTAAAATATAAAAGGTTTAGACATATTTTATGTGATTGTAAATATCACAACCTTTTGTTTTTAATCTTTAATTTTTTTTATGAGGTTGTTTGGATAGTTATGCTCTTTAAGAATTTAAGTCTTTTTTAAATGATTTTTGAGCTAGTTTGAATATGTTTTTCTATAAATACTTCTACAAAAGAAAAATAAGAAGAAAATTTGAAATAAATTTTTTCATAAATTAAAATTAGCTAATGCGTGAATTAAAAATAAAACTTTGAAAAAATTAATAAAAAATGACTTCTATATTAGTTTGTAAAAATATTTAATCATTTTTCTTTCTATTTTTGCCTCCTATAAGTGTTTTTGAAAAAAATTGCCTAAACATTTTTTTTATCAACAATTAATAAATTAATAATATTGTAACATGTACGTAGATATATGTTATGCGACCACTTTGGGAAGTCATGTGACATATGGTATATCTATATGCATATCATGTAATTAGTAAATACTTATAATAATTTTTTTTTAATTTCATAAGGATATATAAATTAACAAATAATAATATAAGGATTAAAACTAATTTTTTCTTATTTGTAAAGCTGGCAAATATATAAGTTAATAATTGAATTAGAATGTATCGATTATGCAAAACTTTTTTACATTGTGATCTAATCACAAATTATCAAATGAAAGAAATTTATTAATTCTTATAATATTACTATAAATATTAAACTTAAAATGATTTCAAATAGAATAACATTATAAAATCTCTACACTCTCATTACATATAAAAAAATATTCTCTAAAATTAATTATAAATAATGTAGTATTTGATATATTAACAACTGAAGTGAGCAGTATTTTTTTTTTATTTTTACAAATGTTATGTTGACATACTTGATGCGAGACTTTGAACAAGTAGTTTCGAAAGAATTTCAGTACTAACTCTTTGATAAATTGTTTTGTGGCTAAATCATGATAATTATTTATTAAAATAATTTAAATAATTCCAGTCAGAAATATGCTCAGTCAACTATAAATAATTTTAGATATAGCTTTTAAAGTAACTATTAAAATAAACATTATATATTATAATTTTTTTATTAAATTAAAATATAAAAATTATTTACGCTACATTCTAATTAAAATACTTTTACATATTTTTCTTCACTAATTATTTAAGATTTTCAAATAAAATAAAATGATCTTATATATGAAAATAACAAATACAGTAATTTAATATTTCTTAATCGAATACGGAGAGTTATATCTTTCTTAACTCCTTTTTATATAATAATAAATAAATTCTCAATATTCCTCAGCATATTATTTTCCATAATAATTATTTTCTATAATACACAAGATGTACAATTTCCATTGTACACTTCAAAAATCTCAATACAAAAAAAAAATGTGTAGAATTTCCCTCAGTTTTTGATGATAAAAAATCAATGGTAGATCTAGAAAGTAGAAAGCAACAGCCCCATGAAATTAAATAAGCAAATACAACTTTGACACTACATGCTATTAAAAGAACCAAAAGGGTCCTCAAAAGGCCAAAAAAACAGAACATTGTGACAGCCAGAGTGTTCCAGAGAGAGTTTGTTGAACTGTGGAGAAGGGTAACTGTAAGCAAGCAAAAGAGTTATTGATGGAAGGGATGAAGAGGGTGCTATCACCACCCATGCTGCTTCTCTTTGTAGCATTCACCATTCTTGTGCTGTTGCCAGAAGAAGCTTCTGCTACAAAGTGGACTGTTGGAAACAACAAGTTTTGGAACCCCAATGTTAACTACACTGAATGGACCAAAGGCAAACATTTCTACCTTGATGACTGGCTCTGTAAGTTCTTCTTCTCTCTCTCTATGCATGAATCTTTGTTTTCAATTTTCATGGTTCTTGTTGTTGTGCCCTCTCTGTGAACCGGATCTGAACTGGTTCAGGAATAGGGTGAGTTGATTAAAGTTGGTAGCTTTTTGTTGCTTAATTTACTATCTTTTGAACCAAGAGGGTCTAAATCAGATGGTTTCAGATCTTTTGGTTTTGTGTGTCTTTAATTAATCTTTGAGTCTTTTATTGAACCCATGTTGGCTGAATAAGAAAAGGAAATGACATTGGATGCTGTTGTATTGTGTGTTTCTGTCTAACATGTAAAATAGGTGTAAAAATGGGATTTTTAGGGGAATGCCGTTGGGGTTTCTCTTCCCTCTCTCTGTCCCATTTCGTTTTTTTTCTTAATTTGCATTTTCTGTCAAGAGGAGAGTGTAAATAAGAAATAGGGTTTGGATAATTGGATCCTTTTTTTTATGCTTTTGTTGTCTTGTGCTACTTTCTCAGATCCCAGTGGTGGTAAGTACTGGATACTCACCACCAATGTTGTAGATAAGGTCAGGAAAATAACACTATCATTGGTTAAACAAAAATCTGGAATATCAACCAAGCATTTGAAATGTTAAACAAATGTAGAGAATTGCAGATCTTGTTTAACTTTTAAACAATTTTAGCTATCTTAAGATGCCCTGTATGCTGCTATTTTCTGTGAATTAAAGATAGCTGCTCAAGTTAATGCGCCCCCTAATTAACCTAATAGTACATTACATAAACACCCCTCTAGGTTTTGTGAAATTGCAGACACACTGCTTACTTTTTTTTAATATTTTTTTTTATCTTACACTAACCCCTTTAATTGTTTGAGAAGCATAATACCTGTACTCCTTGGACATTACACTAACCCAATTTAATTGCTTGGTAAACATTACACTGACACTCCTTAATAAGGGAGGATGCTGTAAATGCTAGAAAGACGAGAGTTGTCAGTTGTGTGCAATTTCACAAAATCTCAGAGGGTGTCAGTGTAATTTACTCTTAAACTAAAGTTAATGAATATTCCCATCAAATTCTCAGCAAAATTGAGGTAAACTAGAATAAATGGAATGATTTCTACCCTCAATTGGTGGCTTAATTTGTTAATGAAATCCAACGCACCGTTATAGATATTCATTATTTTTTATACCATAATTTTTGTTAATAGAAGCACACGAATAGTAGTTTGCAGTTGGAAATTGGAATGAACATACCTGTGTGGTTGTGTGCTAATTTTGAGCTCCGAACCAAGAGTGTGCTTGGGGGATAGATGGATTTCATGGTGCCTAGTTACTTTTATCATGCTAACTTGGTTAGTTTGGCAGTTTTTGTGTATGACAGGAACCAGATGAGTGTGCTGGAAGTGAACAAGACAGATTATGAAAGTTGCAACTCTGATCATCCACTTGTGAACTGGACTAGGGGAGCTGGAAGAGATGTGGTTCCACTGAATGTGACCAAAACTTACTATCTCATCAGTGGCAAAGGTTTCTGCTTTAGTGGCATGAAGGTAGCAGTTCATGTTGAAAAGCTACCACCTCCACCAAAGGCTTCCCCTATAAAGTCAGGGGCACCAACCCTTTACTCTAGAGGCCACATTTTTCTCATGCCTCTTGTTTTTGCCGTTGGAGCAGCATGGGATGCATTCATTCATTTCTGGTAATGATACATACTACCACACACCACCATTGAACAACACTAATGGATAAGTGTTCATGTTGTGTTACAATCTTTTTTCTTCAAAGGTAATTGTTGGTTGCATTGTGATATTAGTTGTTGGCCTCAAATTGATCAAAGGGTGATGTTTCTCGAGTTAGGTAGTGGTTGTGTTTGATTTTCAAAATGTGGTGTATTTCTGCATGTTATTGATCAGAAATATGTCACAAACTTGTTTAAATTAATTTGATTTATTGGAGAATTCAAATGCGGGAATTGCGGGAATGTGATGTTGTGCTTTTGGACTGGTAGGACCTTGTCCATGTGCGTGTAGCATCACTGCAGTTTACTTTCCATTAATTTTCGTGTTTCTCTTTGGATCTCTAAAACATCATTTGAACGTACAGTTATGAGCATTCATATGTAAACTTCATAAAAGGTAGAGTTTAATTTGTTATCGTGTGAAATATTCATTCACTTCACTGAAGATTATTTTTTGTTAGAAAATCTAGTTAGTCACATTTTGTAAGGTTTCTTCTTTCAATTGTGCTATTTTTTCAAAATATTTGAATTTTGAAATTTTACTTAAAAGAATTGAATCTAATACTATTCAAACTGTTGACTCGTTGGTATTTACGTACATTTGATCACAAAGGTTTATAATAAGAAAATGTTGAGGGAAAATAATATTTGGAGAACTCAACCACTTTTAGGGAATAGTTTATTGTTGTTGGCTACGAGATAATGCAAATAAAATAAATATAGGAATTTATAAAATAATTAAATATCTTAATTATTGTTGTTAAGTATGTGTTGAAGTAAATTAATTCTTATAAATTATTTATTAAAAGTTTAGAATATAATTTATATGTTTAAAAATACTTTTTTTTTTGTTCGTCCATGGAGTATCCACGCCGATAGGAGTGACTAATCTCCTCGCTACATTGGAAGCACCTCAAAAGGTGGGATAGCTGGCTCCAAGATTTAACGCGACTGTATACACAAAGCAGGATTCGAATCCCTGACCTTGCTTAAGCATGGATTAACCCCTATTGCTGAACTGTCTCTAAATAGACTCAAAGTCACTTAGTCTTAAATATTTGGTGACATTCTCTAAACTCTTAATAATACTTCTTTTATTATTTTATTATTGGTTAAAAATTATAAATATCTATGGTGGGTCTTACCGCTAAATTAAGAGAGATTTATTAAATAAAATGTAAGACATAAATATTGTGATTTTTACTCCTTTTGTTCTTTTTTTAATTGTCAGATTTTTAGTAAAATTTTATTTTTATTTGATTGTTATTTTAAAAGTTTAAGATGACATTTAAGATGACATTAATTTTTTTTTATCAGTTATACCAATTCATGTCACTTAACTATTAATTAATTTATCATTGATAACTAATTGGCATTTATTAAGGAGTCAAAATGAAAGAGGATATAATAAAAACCTCAAAATTGTCTTCTAAAAACAAAAAAAAATTACATTTTTTGGTTTGTAATAAATTTTAATTAATAATAATAATAATAATAAGAGTATTAGAAAAAGTGTCGTTAACATTTTTTACAAGAGTATTAAAGGTTCAAAGTATGTATATTATTGAAAAAAATGATATTTATCATGATAATATAATGATTACTATATTGTTAGCTTTAAGTATGTTCCTAGTTAAACTAATTCGTGTGCCAATTTTTAGATAAAACATTCTGTTAAATATGATTTAATCCATCTGAGTTTGGACGAGTAGTCATTTTTTTTTCTTTCCTTTTGTTGGCTGATGTCATAGGTATGTTATATATTAGAGTGTAGTTCTATATTATATATATATATATAAATTATTTCCTCTCTTTCTTTAAAATCATCATAAAGGTGTCATAGACTATCACTTATAATAAGAAGAAAAAATGCTTAAAGCTATTCATAATTTGTTGCTGGAAGAAATGAATGTTAGCTTGAAAATCATTTAACTGAGATTGAGTGTCTTATATATGAATACAAATTTTAAAAAAAAATTCAGAGATTTTTTTTTTGAAAAAAAAACTCTATTTTTAGTAATAAATTATCAAAAATTCTTCTAAATTTATATCTAAACAGAATTGTAGTTATATTAAAGTTTTGCAAATTGAACATGAATCCCTTTCTTGAAAATTTAAGATATACATTAAGCAAAAACATATTAAGATTTACGGGCTGGCCCACTGGACTTTTTGGACTTTTCGGCCCTGAAAATTTTTGGTCTCTCAACCTTTCAACCTTGTGAACAAAACTATTAGTCTCTTATACCATTTCTAATATTCTACAAACATGATTAGATGCATACTATAAATGTTTTTATAATTTTTCTACTGAAAATAAAAAATATTTTAGAAATAAAAATTCAAAAATGTTTCTAAATTTGTATCTAAATAGATTCTATGTGACATGTCCACACTTATCCAAAATGATTATATATTAATTACTATTAACAATTTTGGACAACAATTTTAGGATCGTTCTTTAATGGGACTATTTTTCAGATTTATTCTTTTAAAAGAAAATCTTTTAAAGATATAAAATAAAAGTAATATATACTTTTTCAAAGAAATTCTTATGATCGTATTCCTTACATTTTCGTTTTCTAATAAATTATAAATACAAATTACAAAAATGATGTAAACAAATGTTGATAAAATCCAAAAGAGAAACGAGTAATGGGTTGGGATGATCTTTTAAAGAGTTAATATTATTCAAATACGTTTATTTTATTAATCTAAGTTTAAGTTAAAATTTTATTTTTATTTAAATATTTGACAATACTTAACTTTTCCACTAATATGAAGACATCGTTACTTTTTGGTTAGCAAGACAATAAATAGCACAAAATATTTTTTCATTTATTTAATCCATAATTCAATTTTCTTTGAATAGTATCTTCCATCAGATTGTGATAGTTTTTTTTTTCTTTAACTCAATTAATCCTTGTGGTTTGAACATGTCTTAAATTTTCTTTTCTTGTCTTAATAGAGTTAGAGCCATGTCAATTCATTATTTCTTCTACCTATCATTTGAAATTATACAATTTAGAGTTTTATTATATTATAACCTTAGTTTATTCTTTTAATGGCATATAGATGGTTGCTCTCATTATTTTATATCCTTAATGACACAAATATTTATAAGAGTTTTTATTATATATCTAATAATATGACACAAATATTTGTGTCATAGTTAGCTAATTCCTGCTAAGATAATATAATATGTTTATAGGGAAACCTAGATTATTAACATGTTTGACAAGAATGTACCTATTGTCATATCTGAGGCCATTTGACTTGGTTAAGTCATATTAGTTGTGGTTAACAGCAGAATCAAAGCAGAATGACTGACCTTGCCTCCAAATAAGAAGGTGCACTCCTCTTTGTTATATCTCATAACATACTTGCTGAGACTGAAGATAGGGTATTCTATATATAAATAGGCAAAAATACTAGCCACTTAATTAATTTTCTTCTTTATATTTATATTTATTATCGATTTATCCTAAAAGGTGGCAATACTATGTAGTGCTTTTTTAAACTAAATTATAGTTACAATTAATATAAAAAATATTTAAGCTAAATAATTTAGAATATTTTTAATTATTTAAAATTTGGTATAACATAGCTTACATAAATGAGATGCATTTAAGAATATTAATCTAATAAATGACAGTTATAAATAACAAAATAATTAGATAACATAAATCAGGAACACCTTATTAATTATTTAGAGTTAAAAGTATCATAAATTAAATAAGTAAATGAGGTTAGGAACACCTCACTAAATAAATATAAATAAATATAACATAAAGTAAAATTTAAAATTTTATATATTATTATGTTTATTTATTTATATTATATTTTATATATATTTATTTAGTGAGGTGTCCCTAACCTCACTTATTTGCTTAATCGATGATAATTTTCTCATAACAATTAATGAGGTGTTCCTAGTTTGTGTTGTTTAATTATTTTATGATATTTATTAATGTCAATTATTTGATTAATATTCTTTAATACATTCCATTTACATAATTTAGTTCAAGTATTTGTTTGATATTAATATTAATTATAATATAGTTTTATTAAGAATATCTTAAACTTATGTTATTGTTATATCTTCATTCATTTATAAAGATAAATGTTATTCTATGGTCATAAGAATGAAAGTTTAAATTAATTTGTAGTTGGAGATTTGCCTTGGGGATTTAAATGAGTAAAGATTTAATGTGAAATAATCTTTAGTTATTTATTATTATAATGCTCATTTATCCTAAGTAGTCATTACAAGTATAATTCAAATTTTTATATAAAAAAATTAATATTTACTAGTATTAAATATTTCTATGCAAATTGTGTAATTATTGATATTTATTGGATTATTATTCTCACTCCTTATGTTTCTTGTGTAATATATGTAATAAATTTATAAAAATAAATAAATAAATATAGATGGATTCCCTAGCGATTTCGACCCCTTTCCCTTCAGTGATATCCGCAGTATTTTCTGGCACTACGTGGAGTGTAAATGCTTTAGCCAACTCGGTTACCTTCAATGGAGTGACAGTGTCTTCATTCACATTCTCTCCAAACCAAGAAATTCCAACTGTGATCAATGACCCTATAGTTGTTATTTTTTATTTACCTCCCGTAAACCATGTTAATCCTATTGTAAATCTGCACCAACCAAATCTGTAAATATTGTAATATATATGTAAAAAAATAAGTATCTACGCACATAGTGATAAATATTTTTAGTTTAATATGTAAGTAAGTTGTAAACTAATCATATGTAAAAGAGTTTGAAAAATCTTTCTTTGTTATCACATATAATATTATTAATAATATACTTATATTTTTAATCTATAAATATATATGTATATATATAGACGTATAATATTGAGATTAATATGTAATATGACTAGGCGTTACATAGACAAACATAAAATAAATATAATCATAAAGATTTAAAAGAGATAAAAGTCTCCTTCCCTTTCCTTAAAAGAAATAAAATTACTTTTATCTTTCTCTCTTTTTTTTCTCACTTTCTCTTCCTTCGTTTAATGCTACTCTCCTGAGCATAATTATCTACTGTGAAATTACTTACACCACAAAATATATAGAGTTAATCACCTATACACTGCCCGTGTAAATTTTTTTACACTGGCAACCAATTATATCTTTTAATTGTGCTATGTCATTATTAAAAGTAAATGTATTTATAGTTGTAACTGCCTAGTCGTGGGAATATTAATCCCAATTTAATACATATGTAATAATTAAGTACATTATATCATTAATATTATTATATATAAAACAAAAGAAATTTTTTTATTATAAACTTGCTTACATTTAGAACTTTATATTTGCATCATATATTAAACAATTTTTTTTTTACAATAACGTACATACTTATAATCTACTTATTTCTTA